GAAGAAGGGTCTAGGCTTGAAACGTCAGCCTTCCTGCTCCTCTGATGCTGCTTGGCCTGCTGTGTTCATCCAGCTCTACACCTTGTTATCTCATTTTACAATTTGTGTTCAGATAGTGTATTAATTATATTCATAGAAACTTTGATTATATCAAGTAAAACTGGAAGAGTTACTATCAGCTTGACATAGTCCATCTTCTTTAACTTCTTTGTTTCTTTAAAGGAGTAAAAAATTCAGGCAGTGATGTACCATGTAGCTCTGAGGGCAGCAAGGATATAGTAATGTCTGTAACTTCCAATAACATCTTACCTGAACCAGGTTGGTAGCATTTCGCCAAGGTGAATAGCAGTTGCATAAATTAACAACTTTACATTTAGATACATATCCATTTTGTGTTGTCCTACATTACACGTACGTATTCATCTATCTTTTATGTAGTTAGAACTTAATTCATTCTAAACTGAGTTTCGGTTCCTTAAATTTGCAATCTGTCTGTAACCTGAAAATTTTTGAGTAGGATGAGAGGAATGTGTTCATCGTTAAATATATGTAGAATATAATGCCAGTAGCTTGAATGCTAAGTATCTGCAGGGGTATAATCTCTGATCACGGAAAATCCTGAAGTTTGTTTGCTTCTTTAGAAATTTTGGAAGCATCTACTCTGGATGGAGGTGAAAAGAATTCATCTGTCTTTGAAGAAACAATTATTTCTCCTGGATTACAATTATATAAAGCTGCATATGTTCGAAGTCTTCCAGATATGGCAGAAGCATTAGCCCATGGAGCTGAAGTAAACTGGGTTCATGCTGAAGATAATAAAGCAACTCCTCTTATTCAGGCCGTACTGGGGGTAGGTTGGCTCAAAGAGGGCTTTTCCCCTTCTTGTAGTGTTGTCTGTTTAAAGACTGTGTGTTTACTGAGTCCCAAAATTGAAGATTGGTTATCAGCATCCCCTGATGGATTAAATTTATTAAGGCTGGTTGCACACTGTTATGTTCCTCCTGATGTTATCCTAATTATTTAGATAATAATATTCAAATATTATCAGGTATTATTCTGTCTCTGAATTTTCACTATGGTCCAAGTCAATGGCATGCCATCATAATTATATAACTCAATAGTAGTTTTATAATAGTTACAATTTCAGGCATACTCTAGGGAAATTTCATTGTTGCCTGTCAGCATAAAACTAAATGAGACTGAAATATAGAATTTTAGTGAACACTTTTTCATTGTTCATTTACTCCACTCACTTTTAATCTTTCTCTTCAGCCCTTTTTTCCCTGTTCCACAGGCCTGTCCTCCTCCATTCCTTTCACCAAATGTGTTTTTCTTTTCTGCTACTGTTTATTAGTCGCTTGATTCACATTTATTTGTGTTTAAATTTGGATTTGAAGTTGTATCTCTTATCACAGGGCTCTTTGGTTGCCTGTGAATTTCTGCTACAGAATGGAGCAGATGTGAACCACAGAGACTGTCATGGCAGAGGACCACTACATCATGCCACCATCTTGGGTCATACTGGGTAACAAATTTGTTTACCTTCACTAGTGTGCAAATATATTTACTTCTTTCTTTATGCCAACTGTAGTGGAGTCAGCTAATGGATGTTTTAAGGCCCGAAAGCATTTTGTTTCCTTGCTCCCTGAGCATGCCTCAGGATTGCATATTTTTGGAGGAAACCTACTGGCCAAATATGTAAGTGTGCAGGTTGCCAGATAACTCTTATCATTATTGGAAATTTAATAGGTCAGCTTGCCTTTCCATTTCCGGAGGGACATTATCACTGAAAGGATGAAAGTTAGTTCAGGCAAATGAGTGAGTGCCAAAGAGCATAGCAATGAATTCTTGATCTTTTACTGTTCACAATCTTAATAGTAACAGGAAGATGGTACTTGTGCAATATTAAAATCTTCTGAAAATATCAAGAAAAGGTCTCAAAATAAATGGAATCAATTGATATCATGGGGCTAAGAGTTGCTTTACTGCTGGGAAAGGTCATGCACACGGCTAGGAACCGTGATGAAGGGATTCCTTTTTAAATGGTTCCCACCACATGCCTCGTGTTACAAGCTGGGGTTGGTAATTTAGGAGTTTGGTACTCAAGGCTAGAAGGTATGGAGATAAAATTTAGAGGGAGTTAATCTTTGAGGTTCTATTGGGTAAAATAAAATGTTGCAATAATTAATAATTGCCTGAAAAAGAGAGCATGCTAGAGACCTCAGCAGTTTTGGCAGCATCTGTGGCGAGAGAAAGAGTTCATTTTTCGAGTCTGATTTGGCTCTTCTCCAGAACAGATTTTTGCAAGATGTTATGAATTTAGACTAACACTATATACAAATGTAAGTTTAGCACGCATTGGCAGTTAATGTATGAAGTGTGACTGAGGGACCAGTTTGAGGTTTTGGTGTATGCAGGGTGACAAGTTTTCACTCTGTGATAATTGATTCTTTTACACAGGATCTTATGTGCTTGAGTATATTGTGACTTTTATTCTTGGTGTTGGAGGTTGGAATGCTAAAAGGTGCTGTGCAAGTTCATATTGAGAGTTGCTGCAATCTATCCTGTGTATAGTACGTATAACCAGTGTGTTGATAGTAGAGGAGGGATATATTGAATACAGTTATCAAATGGACTACTCTATCCTAGATAATGTTAAGCTTCTAGATTGTACACAGCCAGATGTTAGTGAGTATCCCACAGCTCCTAGAGATAGGATATGTTTGGAGATGAAGCATGTAACACAGAATGCCCAGCCTTGGATCTGCTCTTGCAGTTGTGATATTAATATGACCAGTGCAGTTACTCTTATGGTCAGTGGTGAACTCTCCTGCACCCCATGATGTTTGTGGTGGGTGAGTTGACAAATGTATTTCTGTTGAAGATCATCTGGTTAAACTTCTTTCTTTTTGAAGATGGTCTGTACCTAAAGTTTATTTTGTGCAAATATTACATATTATTTGTCAGCACTGTTTTGATTTTGTCCAGGTCCTGTAGGCTGTGAACTTAGGCTGCTGTATAGCAGAAGAATTATGAACAGGTCTGAACAGTGTAAAATTGTCTGTGCACAGACCCAACTCCCTGATTTGATTGGAGAAAATCATAGACTCTGAGCAGTTCCCGTAATAATATTCTGAGGCTGTGTGATTGGCTTTCTGTTCAACCACTCCTTTGTGTTCAATGATGGCACCAACCATTGGAAGATTTTTCCCTGACACTTGTTGACCTTTGCTTTGCTAAGGCTGTTATCAGTCAGAAGCTGTGTTGATGCCTTTTGGTTATAGAAGTGGGAGCTTCTTAGTGTTTTTCTGGGACCTATTACTAGCTGTGCTTCATTAAATTAAAATATTTTCTTTTAATCCAATTTTTATTTTAATCCATTAGCTGTCTTCTGTCCAGCTAAATGATTTCCTTTCGGATTTGATTACTGACCAGGGTTGTGCTAACTTTGTCATGTTGAGTGCTTCATACTGTTATCCTTTACAGCTGCTAGTAATTTGTAGGTTACTCATTTATGCTTTCCTCTTTTTTCCTTTTGAACAGGAATGTTACATTCACCCCTGTGTTTCTTTGATAAATTATTTTCAAAGCTTTTCTTTTAGAAAATGGTAACAAGTAAATACACTGTAAAATATAACAGTATCTCAGTTGGTAGGAAAAGCAAACTGTAAAGAGCAAACAAAATTACATTTGCATAAATGCTTTGGAACATTGCAGGGTGTAGAGAAGTAAGCTTTTCAGAATATTTTCTCTTTGGTGAAAGGGTTTGCTGGAGTTGATGATTCGGAGTTTCTCAATACTTCCTCCTGCAAGAAAAACAATAAATCTTAAATTGAAATATTGCCTCTGTAATGGTTACCATGAATCTACTGTTGATTGTCGTAAAAACCCATCTGATTCGGTAATGTCCTTTAAAGGAAGGAAATCCGCCATCCTTACCTGGCCTTGCCTAGATGTGACTCCAGCAGTATGGTTGACTTGTAATTGCCCTTGAAATGGTATAGCAGGCAACTTTGTTTAAGGCCATATAGGGATTAGCAACCAACATTGACCTTACCAATGGCACCCACTTCCCGTGATAGAATTAAGAAAAATAAAGGACCTGTCATCTGCCATGTCCCTCCAAAGTAGTACCACCAGGATAGCAGCATGGAGATCACATCAGTAGTTTGCCATTGTATGCCTGTGTTGTGTGTCTTGTGCAGTTTTGAGTTGGAAATATTTGAATAATAAACTGTATGAAATTGCCTTCATCTTGTATTTAGAAAATTGAGCATCTTTAATTTGCAACAAAACAGTGATGGCTTGCTGCTTTACCTTAGGCAGGTGTGTTTATTTCTGAAAAGGGGAGCCGATCAAGGCGCACTAGATGAAGAAATGAAAGACCCACTTGCCATTGCAATAGAAGCTGCAAATGCTGACATAGTTACATTGTGAGTATTATTATATTTATGATTATTTTTTAATGTGTGATTTACATTCTGCTTATTTTGGAAATTGGAACTTCAGGTAGACTATTCAAACTCTCCAGCCTATCCATTTTTCATTTAAGATTGTGTCCTTACTCCATTTACCCACCTTAGCTCAATGTCTTGTGATATTCATGACTAGCAAATAATAGTCAACCTTCAACTGAAACTTACTAACTGAGCTACTTTAACTTTTATTTTGCGGGAGGATGCTCCATGTTCCTATTTGCAAATGATGAGTTTGGATGCAAAGCCCAAGCTTTCAGTTGAAAACAATAAACTGCAGTTTAACTTAACTGCCTTGCATTGAAATTATATTTTCTAAAAGAGTTTTTCATGCAGTGCTTTATAGTGTCTGGTATTTCATAAAAGACATTTTCAAAATCTAGATGCATTCCTTGTGTAGCAAGGCCATCCTCAACCCTCCTTTGTCAATTTGGGATGCCATTTCATAAAGATTCAGGGTGGGTCAGCAAAACTTCATCTTTTAAGAACAATCAACTTCACTTTTTTGATGTGATTTTTCATGCAGGTGTTTTATTTTATTTCTAATTACTTCTGTTCTTGACCGTCAACATTCTATTGCTTTGCAGTGGAAATTATATTTGTCTGTGACTATACTGGTTGGGGTTTTTTTGATTTCCTCAAAATGATTATGCCTCATTTATTCACTCCTATGCTGCTAATTACCCTGGAGTGTAGTTCACACGTCGCAGAGATTTATTGTATATTGAATTTTTCAGGCTTCCCAAGCAGAATTTCCTCTTCTGTCTTGTTTGACACGTTCTAGGGTTTATGAAACCTGAGATACGAATTGAATGACTTTGCCATCTGCTGGAAAAAGATTGGAGTCATAGCAAGAAAACAGTTCAGCTATTATATCTATATATTCTTGCTTATTTTGAAATAAGATGACTGTCACGATCAAAGTCTCCCCAAGTCTCAGTCTGCCTCTTTGTAATGTCCTGTTTTTAGTTTGTTTGTTAAATTTTTATAGGTGTCTATTGCTTATCATTTGCCATCTTATTAACTTTCCCAGGTCAAAGACATGAAGATGTAATGCAGCATTAAGTATTCCATATAATAGGAACCAGACCAAAATGGCAGGTCATAAATTGAATTGGCGATGCCTACAGTGGATTATTGCTTATCACATTGTCAAAATAGTTTCATGCCATCCAATTTGGAGTGTCTGTGCATGTGTTCACCTGTGTGTATAAACAATTGAATGTACATTTATTGTCGCAAATAAACTATTGTACGTTTTCTCTATGTTGATTTTGGTCTCATCTCGCTGTTACTTTTCTTTGTAAGTTTTTGTACTTTTGTTTTCTTAGGTTGCGTCTGGCAAAGATGAATGACGAGATGCGAGAATCTGAAGGCCTTGGACAGTCAGGTCAATATTCCAATAACAGTCATACAGAGATGCAATATAAAAAATGCATGCAGGAATTTATTAGTTTACAGCTACAAGATTCTTGATCCTCCTTAAATAATGATTACCTAAACATCTCCAATGAGGGCCTGGGGTAAGGAATGGGAGCCTCATGACTTTGTCATGTGGCTGGTGATACAATATTTAAATTGATAGATCTTGTCCAATTGGAGGACCAATATTGCAACCAGCCAAATTCCAAGAAAGAGTATCTTACAATCGGAGGAAAAAAAGCAGGTACCAAAGTTATTTGGCAATGAAAACAATGCACCTCAAATTTTAAAACATGCAGTATCTAGTTGCATTTTCTGTACATCTTGAATGTTAGTTAAAAGTTAATAGTATTAAGGTATCGAAATGAAAATAGTAGTGTTTATTGGAATGAGTAGATGTTTTTCCTTAGTTTTCTGTTTCCATACTGCAGCTCCAAGTTCCTGAGACCTGCATAGTCTGTTCAAATGGATGTTGACAGCCCTCTGATACCTCACCATTGTTTCTGTGTTAATCCACATAGGAAGATAATCAACTGTGGAGAGGCTTACAGCCAATTCTAATCCCATCCTTACCTGGCGTGCCCATGAACTTGCATTTTCCAGGAGGAATCACTGGAGTTCCTCAGGGTACTATGTTCAGTGACTTCATTATTGATCTTCCCTCCATAGTAAGGTCAATGGTGGGGATGATCGCTGGTAATTGCACAATGTTTAACTCTATTCCCAAATCCTCTGATACTGATACAGATCGTGTCCAAATACGGCAAGACCTGGACAGCGTTCAGGCTTAGGCTGTTAAGTGGCAAGTAACATAAATGCAAACAATGACCAATGACCATCTGTAACAGGAAGGTAAGCAACCATCAACATTCACCTGCCTGACCACCACCCCTGCCCCGCCCCAGATGTCCAATGGCATTACCATTGCTGAATCCTCTACTGTCAGCATGCTGGGGGCTACTAGTGACCAGAAACTGAACTGGATTTAGCCATCTAAGCACTGTAGCTACAAAACCAACTCAGAAACTGGGAACTCTGCTGTAACTCACCACCTGCCTCATTAAAGCCTGTCTGCCATCTGTAAGGCACAAGTCAGGAGTGTGATGGAATACTCCCCATTTGCCTGGATAAATGGCAGCATGGTAGTTCAATGGTTAGCACTGCTACCTCACAGCACCAGGGACCTGTGTTCAGTTCAGCGTTGGGTAATCGTCTGTGTGAAGTTTGCACTTTCTCCCATGTCTGTGTGGATTTCCTCCCACGGTCCAAGGATGTGCAGGTTAAGTGGATTAGCCATGGTAAATTATCCATAGTGTCCAGGGATGTGTAGGCTAGGTGGGTTAGCCATGGTAAATGTGGGGTTATGGGGCTATGGGGCTAGGGTGGGAGTCCAGGTGAGATCCCTTTCAGAGGGTTGGTGCGGATTCAATCGGCCAAATGGCCTCCTTCCATACTGTAGGGGTCGTATAATTCTATGAAAGGCAGATCTGAAGGTTTGCACCATTTCAGGACAAAGCAGCCACCTCAGTTGGCACCCCATCTAATACCTTCAACATTCACTCCCTCCACCATCATAGCACAGTGGCAGCAGTGTATATCATACGAGGTGCACTGCAATAACTCGTCAAGGATCCTTAGATTGACTGCAGTTTCCAAACTCATGACCTCTACCGCCTAGAAAGTCAGGAGTAGCAAAATGTGTATGCTTCCATGTTATTCTGACTTGGAACTGTATCACTGTTTCTTCACTGTAGCTGGATAAAAATCCTGGCATTTCCTTCTTACAAACCACGTAGATTGCAGCAGTTCAAGAAGGTGGCTCTTTACTACCTTCTCAAGGACAATTAGAGATGGGCAACAAATGCTGGCCATAGCGACACCCTCATTTCCTGATTGTTCTTTGCTTCACACAGTCAGGAACAGGAACGCTAGTTGTCTTCTTTTAGCTCAGGCAAGTAGAAAGTAATATTAGCATTTCCCAAAATCAATCCATATTGAGGATCAAAACTGATCTCTTCTGATTTGAAATTTTTATTATCACATTTAAATGCTTGACCATCAGAAATGCAACAGTTCCACTTCTTTTTCCCCGTTACGTACATTTTTTTCGCATGCACTTTGTCCCTAATGGATCGTCCTTAATTGGAAAAGTGTTATTTTTTAATCTGTTATTCCCTCAAAATATTTGGCTGAAATATCATTGGTGAAAGTCGATGGGAAGAATTCATGGTCTAAAATAAATCACAATACACAAAACATATGACAGCACTTACCTACCTGTTTGGATATAGATTAATTATCTGGTAATTCTGAACAAAACCTAGACATTGATCCTTGTTTTGAAATATAAATGTCAGTATTTGTTTTTAATTATATTTCCTATAAAGAAATGCATTTAAGTGGAAATATTATTATAACTTCAACATGTTTTACTCTAGTGTTACTTTCAGTGGTCAAGAATGAACAGTAAGATGTGAACGTTTTAAGTATTACAAATGGTGTTTTGATTTCATTGACTTTTAAAAGAATTGTAATTAGTTTAGCTATGTTTTTCCTCTTAATATTAGCAAGCTTTTATGAGCACATTTCATATTGTACACAGTTTTATTTTGTTTTTTCTTTTGGTAATTTAAAATTTATATAATATTCCTTGAATTGAAATTTAACCTAGGTGTACAAAATTAGGTACAGATATGACAGTTTTTAAATTTGTTTGGAGACGTCCATAACAATGGAAAATTTTCAAAGTGGGAAATTATTGCATAAAGTGAAAGGTAAGCGAAGTTATGTTGGGAAGTAATTAGAAAACACTTTGTTTAGTTGAGATCCCAGAACTTGCAGTGATAATTCTGTAGCTGTGTACTGTATTGTGTTGATCGTTCAAAAACTTTATATGAAAATTTATTCAAAGTTCTGTAGTCTACTAGTAATAGACCACAAGATAAATAGTTATGCACTGTTAAAAGAAAGCCATATGCTGCATTCTAATTAGCTTTTATATTTAGCTTTTCACTGTCAGCCACAAAGACAAATTGGTGCTAGCAAATGCATCTCATTGTTTCCTGTTACTACTGCTTTTATTCTTGTCTGTCCTGATGTCTTTTTGAATGTAAATTGTGTGCCTTTTTATGTTCCTGATCTGGATGGTACAGGCAGCATTATTCTAGGTATATTCTTTCTGCACTTTAAATGGAGCATTATTGTAAAAGGAAATGGAGTTACTTACGGAGGAATTAGCATTTATCTCAAGGTGAAGACTTAAGATTGTTGCCACTAAATGTTAAATATGCTTTTTTGAAAGCAATAGCTTATCAGCCTACATCAAGATTCCACAGGTATGCTTCTTTGAAATGTGAAATATCTCAAGCTAATGAGTTAATTAAGACTCTCACAGTCATACCGATTCTCAGATAGTAATCATTTCCTCCAAAATATATTTCCTATGACTTTTAACATGATGATGTTACCTTCACTGAAGATTTCCAGTTATTTATGTTGATTGCAAGCGCACTAAACTGCCAAATTGCCTTCAAGTATTGCACCATCTATTTGTGTGTAGGCTGATTTTTTTTTTTCCCAATAAGCCTCGACTGCAGAAATTTTTGTAATTTTTCTTAACATGCAGATTATTCTTGCGGATTGATCATCTCTTCCTTTTATACTGAATGGCATTATTTCAGGACTTGCCTGAAAATTGCAGGATCAGCTGTGATCTGGAAAGTTTGATATAAAGTTATCAGACATTTAAAAAAAAAAAATTGGCAAATTTATATTTGTCAACTATTGAATTTGAATGTAAGGTAAAGGCTACGTGAGGGAGTACAGTTTAATGCCTTTAGGTTCAAATGGACTTAAAAAAAAAACTCTTCAAACCTTCAGGTTTTTTAGATTTGTATTCAAGCGTAAGCATTAAATTATTAAGTGCAAATGGCTAATTACGACTTTGCTTCCAGCAAGATCATACCTGGATCTGATTTGTTTTCATCTTAGCACTAATGGCAGCAATCTAGGGTCATCAGTAGGTCTTGTTGTCACTCAACCTTGGTATTGCTCATATCTGTTGACTTGCATCACTGCTTTTAAGATAAATTTAATTTCTGATTGACAACAAAGGTACTTGTCTACTTTGAAACCAATTAAAACACATCCAAATAAGGGTACTGTTTTGCAGTTTACACTTTTGGATAGGGGAATTAATTAAAATTCTGATGTAATTGGTAACAAACTGAAATGTGAAATTGTTACATTACTCTACTTCTAAGTGCTTATATGTACATATCTTTTAGTTTTTTTTTGCTCTACTGTAAATATCCAACCTATTTCAATAAACTGCTTTCGATTTTTTTTTGATTTTTGAAAATAATCATATCGCTTTGTTAGTTTTAATAGGATAGAAACCTGAAATTTTAATTGAATTACATCAGTAAATAGTAAGTCCTGACTGACTTATAAGTTGTGTTTCTGGAAATTGTATTCTTAAGTGAATCAGATTTTCCCATTTACTTTGTCAAAACAAAATTAAAACATTAGATCCTTTAAGTTGCAATTCTTCATGTTAAATTTGTATATTGCTAAATTAAATAACTTGTAACTAAAATAAATAATATATAACAAGGACGGCAACTTTCTACTTGCGATACCTCCAGTTTACTTAGATCCTGCTCACCAGACATCCTGGTCTCTGACCCTCCTGGGTGCTCTGGACTTTCTCACCAACTGTTACAATTTATAACCTCTTCTGCCCCCTAATTTACCTTCCTGCTGCACACCCTCCGTCTTGCATTCTCTTCCATTCCCTGATTTGCCTTGCCAATTTTTGCTCTCGTTGGAGCTCCTCCTCAACCACTGTCCTGCTCGTCACTTTCCTGTCTGAAGATTAGCAGCCTGAGGCAAGAGAAGAAACTTTGACTTTCAGGAACTCATTCTTTGTTGTCTACTTCACCCTTCGATCAGCAACCTTCCTTTCTACCTGCATTCATAATATGGGCGAAGGAGAAGTAAGCGAGGCCTGTGCTCCACAGCTTTACTAGAGCAGAGAGAGATCATGCCACTTTCCAGTGGCCCAAGTATACATTGTTGCATACATTTTATCATTGTTGGGATCAGGGAATTACTAGGAGAGTTTTGATTAATGGGAGGGTGGTGAAGCTAATCACAAACCCACTCGAAAAGAACTTACCACCTGCAAGTCAAAGCTGTTCCTCTTGACTTTTGCCACTCATGTCTACAGTGAGTGTTCAGAAGAGGTTATTGATGAGTAGGAGAGTCCAGGAGTTGGAGATTTGGCGAGAG